ATATTTGATATCTAATTAAAATATTTGATTAAAATTTGCCAAAAGTTATGGCAAGTTCAATGATAAAACATTAAAACACTTTTTGTGATGGATTTCACAAACAATTTATTATTAATTTTACTTAATCACTTAATCTTATTATAATTTTTTTTAATAAAAATAACAATTTTTGCATAAACTTATAGATTCATGATGTAATAGCCTTCTATAGTGAATTATAAAACATGCAAATTAAGAACAATAATTATAGCATTTGAATAACAAATATTAATTAAATGATATTCTTTTGTTATAGAATACAGAATAATACAGAATATGAAGACAAAAATAAAATGAATTGCTTTCTAGTGTCCAGACGTGTGCAGAATTAGGGCAGAGTTTGCATTGAATAGGGGTTATGGATGAAGGGTTTGGTAGTTTGTGTCGGTATTACTAGTGTTAATGTAAGTTATATTTTATGCGCTCCAGAATTGTTCCCTATTATGGGTATTATATACAGCATAATATCACATGAGTTACAATACTCTACAATATTATACAATAGAGTTTTAGTACAAATAATATAAACTTTGAGAACAGAAGGCATTGGTGTTGGAGGAGAAGCACAGAAGCAGTGATCGATTTTTTCGGGCACTAAAATTGTTTGCAGATATTATAACCATTGAGAGAGAGAGAGAGAGAGAGCCAAAAGAGCCAAAAGGATACAAAAAGCAAATAAAAATTTTAGTAATCATTTGGTGGCACAAGAATTCTAGTCAATCAATAAAGTTTGAGTGGAGAGAGAGAGAGAGAGAAGAGAGAGAGAGAGAGAGAGAGAGAGAGAATGAAAACGATATGTGTGTTTGAAATTCAGAAACCGAAAGCAGAGAGATGTCAAGTGTTTGGGCCATCCATTCAATCAATTACTGTATTGCGAGACATGTCTTACGTCTTCATTAGTATCGGATAGCCTTTTGTCAGACGAGGCATCGGTAGCCGCTATCATAGGAAAGGGAAGGAAAGGAAAGGCACCATTGATTAGGCGATGGATATGTGAAATGAGTGGCAAAATGAGTCAAATTTTTACAGGTGTTGACTGCCGAGCGAACTGCGCCGTCGACACGAAAACTGGTAGCGCTTCTGCTGGTGAATGGCATCCCATTGCCATTGGAGTTGTGGAGGAGTCACGTGACTCACACAGAAGTACATCAATATTCTTGCTGTCGCTCACAATACGAGAAATCATTTGGTCGATACTGATATGCGAGTGGATGGCACCGCCACTCTCTGGCACCACCGCTCGCACACACACTCACTCACACACACACTCACAGCCACTCCACCAGTCGTTCAGTGATTCCAGTGATTCCATCGCTGCCACCGCTCCGGAGCCGTCGATTCACTTCCAAACGCCACTTATTTCTACTCTTTTTTCGCTTCAAACGAGTGTTTATTTTGCAAATGTTTTTATTTCGTTAAACAGAATATTCTGACATTTATTGCAAACACACATATCCACGGGATTTCATATACAAACACATATCAGTTGCAAATTTTGTTTGACTATCGGTTAATAAAGTGCTAATTATGTGGAAATCTATTAGTTTTTTAATCATGAAGGCCAAGACGTGATGTGGTTATCATTATGTGATTCACTCTCCATTGCCATTAAAATAACTCTATTATTATAATTGGCACCACTTTTGTTACCATTAATTATTGTATATATATTAATACGGGATAATAATCGCAATTATTGCCACAAATCTCTATTTAAGTTCAAACATATCAGGTTTGAAGCCTTTTGTTATTTTCTATTCAAAATATTTGCTTAATTTGTTTATTTTTAAACGGATTGTAAAACATTTGCAAATCTCTTAAATCCACAGAAGAGATGTCGGATAAGAATAAATTAGAACTCAACAGTTTCGGCGGATCAGCTGCTGGGGAACGGTATCAGCCAAATGCTAATAATGCTGTCCCTACTGGTGCTGTGCCTACTGAAGTGAAATTAGTTGACGGAGATATACCGGAAAGAGGGCAGTGGTCGGGAAAAATGGACTTTCTTATGTCATGTGTTGGTTATGCCATCGGATTAGGAAATGTATGGAGATTTCCATACCTTTGTTATAAGAATGGAGGAGGTATTCAATCATTTATATATATTCTGTTTATTATTCATTATAATAGCATTAATGTATTCATATAATATGTTTATTACATAGTATTTTTCAAAAAATTGGCAATTAATTTTTAAAAATTGTAGACAAATGATTATTTTGTTAAATATTTGTTGAGAAATAAATTATGAGAAATTCATAATAAAATTTTTATTTAAACCTTATGATATTGAATAATAAGTTATATGAAATATTTCTAAATAAATAGTAATACTATTTAAGAATAAGGGAGTGTTTGTGGTGTGATGTATAGGCATTCAAAAAATGTCCAAACGTTGATGTCTCAAAAAATTGCCAATTTATTCCTCACTTCCTAATTATTAATCATATTTGTTATGCCATTCAGTGGTGTGTGTGAAGGAAATCCGATTCTGTGCAGTCATATAGCAGTCATATATGAGTTAAACTCTATTATGTTTTCAGTTGACTCTTTAGGGCAGTGGTCGGGAAAAATGGACTTTCTTATGTCATGTGTTGGTTATGCCATCGGATTAGGAAATGTATGGAGATTTCCATACCTTTGTTATAAGAATGGAGGAGGTATTCAATCATTTATATATTATGTTTATTATCCATTATAATAGCATTAATGTATTCATATAATATGTTTATTACATGGTTTTTTCAAAATAATTGGCAATTAATTTTTAAAAATTGTAGAAAAATGATTATTTTGTTAAATATTTGAGAAATAAATTATGAGAAATTCATAATAAAATTATTATTTTAAACCTTATGATATTGAATAATAAGTTATATTAAATATTTCTAAATAATACTATTTAAGAATAAGGGAGTGTTTGTGGTCTGATGTATAGGCATTCAAAAACTGTCCAAACGTTGATGTCTCAAAAAATTGCCAATTTATTTCTCACTTCCTAATTATTAATCATATTTGTTATGCCATTCAGTGGTGTGTGTGAAGGAAATCCGATTCTGTGCAGTCATATAGCAGTCATATATGAGTTAAACTCTATTATGTTTTCAGTTGACTCTTAATTTTATTTTTGATACCAATATAATTACAATCAAAAACAGTATATACACCAACTATTCATTATGTATGAAATATATCAAACAAAATCAATATCTTAATTGTGTTTACAGACTGTAACACACAATGAAATGCGAGACAGTCTTAAAATTAGCATAAATTGATTTTAATTTATAGTATAATGTCTAAAATAATTTAATGCCACTCCATTTAGAAATTAGATACTGGAGCACTTAGGCTACGCTTTTCAGTACAATGTGTTTAAAATTTGGTGAAATTTTCTTTAATTTTCGGTTTGAAGACTCAAACATATGTCATATAATGGTTGAGAGCATTAATAATATCTTATGTCTAAATTGGATTCAATGGGGTTGTGTTGTGTTGTTTCAATTAATAGAGAAATCCTTATTCCCACTCCTCTCTCCTCTAATTGTACTCATTGTGTAATTTATCTCCAATTTATTGCTTAATCTGCCCTTCAGTTGATCTAACATTGGATCACAAAAATCAGTATAAATCGAAAGGAATTCCAGTGGCAGTGGTTGTGCTCCAGAGTATGTGTGCCACACATATAATGCAATGCAATCATTAAGTTTTTGTCTCTCTTTTTCTCTTTTCTTATTCTTATAGCACTTCCTTTTCATACAAATTCTCTCTCTTTCTTATCAAACACTAAAGAGTCGAAGAGTCGAACCAATAGTTTATTGGTTTTTGAGTCTAATAGCGATTCAATAAATTAGTCGACAATTTGTATGAATTGAGAGGAATATAGCGAACAGAATATTCTGTCTCTCTATTGAAGCACACAATTGTTAAGAATAGCCGATGCGATACCACCAGAGAATTTGTATTCAAATTAACCAAATCATCTGAAAATCGGCGTAAAAATGAGAATTGAATTCAAATTTTGAGTTTCTTTTTAAAACTCAAACCAAATCCTCAGCGCTTTTGCAATGAAGCAAAAGGAGAGGAGAGCGTGTATTCTCTCAGAATATTCTGTGCTCTCTCTCTCTCTCTCTCTCCAGCCTCTCTCTGGCCTTCTCTCTCATTCTCTCTCTATTTGTGTGTTTTTCTTCAATTCAAAATCGATAGGCTGTGCTCTGGCATCACAGCGTTGCCATAGATGAAGGCCATAAACACTGCTATGGATGCCATCACCACAATTGACTCAAGACTCTGCTCTACTGTACACTACTGTACGGCACCCGCACTTAGAGCACAGAAATGAGTTTAATATTCAAATTCACTTCTCATATGTTTTAATATTCAGTATAACATTAAATTAAAATATAAATCGGAAATTTGGGTTTAATTTTATCATTTGATATGCAATTTATGTGTACTTAAGAAAACATAAGACAATGTCATACGAGAGACGGAATCGGCACTAGAAATGCGTTAAATATGCAGAAAATCACATCGCTTTTTAATGTCTGCCTAAAAACCGTTAATCCCTTACAAAAGTTATTGAAAAGAATTGAGACGATGAGTGGGAAAAAGTTTTGTTATAGTATTAAACATTTACTCTGAAAGGAATTGTTCGACACTTATTTGGGCAAAAAGTGGTTCAGTGGTATCGTTGGTATAGTTGTGCAAATAATTCAACCGTAAAGTCTGAACTCTGTGTTTCTCATATCCAAACACATCGTATATACACATAAAATCAATAATTCGCATCATTCTCTCTCTCTCTCTCTCTCTCTCTCTCTCTCTCTCTCTCTGCATCACTCTATGCTTTGAAGAGTGCTTTTGACGTTTGTATGGAATAGAGTGTAAGGAATGCAACGAATGATACAATCACTGCATCACTGGCTTTAGATTTTAGAGCAAAAATGTGAATCAATTGAATAATAAAATAATGAATCTTTACTTTTTTAATATGAATTTCTCGATATTATTATTTAATAATTTCTAATCGTTTAGCAGAGAATAGGCAGAATTTAACAAATATTTTTATGACTTGTGTTTTTATCTATAATTTTATGATTCAACTAATAAAATGTGTTTAAAGAGATATATACTAAACGAATAGACAAACGGAATGTTTGCATATAAAGACAAAGTGTGTAAATTGAATAAGAAATACAATGTATAACAGTTATGTGCATGCGAGCAAAAAGTGAGCAAAAGTACACATAATGCAGCATTTACTGTATCGCTCATTGAATTGCCTATTAACAGACCCCTATGTCTTTAATGCCACAAATGACATATGTCATGACTCTGTGGAAATAAAATAGACATAAGACGGACTACATTGTGTATTATCATGTAATTTGTCAAATGCAAGTGTTTGCATCATAGTGTTCAGACAGTATGTTTGCTTATTACATCCGGCTGCACATCTCTGATGTATAATAAATGTATAATAAATTTGTGCTGTAATTGAATACTTTGTGATACATTTCCCTCAAGAATTTGGTTCCCAGTGTTTAGTATTAGTGTTTGGTTTAAATCTGAAATCGAGTTTATAGTGAAGTGCTGTGATTGAATCAATTGAATAATAAAATAATGAATCTTTACTTTTTTAATATGAATTTCTCGATATTATTATTTAATAATTTCTAATCGTTTAGCAGAGAATAGGCAGAATTTAACAAATATTTTTATGACTTCTGTTTTTATCTATAATTTTATGATTCAACTAATAAAATGTGTTTAAAGAGATATATATTAAACGAATAGACAAACGGAATGTTTGCATATAAAGACAAAGTGTGTAAATTGAATAAGAAATACAATGTATAATAAATTTGTGCTGTAATTGAATACTTTGTGATACATTTCCCTCAAGAATTTGGTTCCCAGTGTTTAGTATTAGTGTTTGGTTTAAATCTGAAATCGAGTTTATAGTGAAGTGCTGTGAATGCAAATGAAAAGCTCTACTGAAATGAAATTGATTTCCGCATAAAACTCAGAAAAGCTGCCGTTCCTCACACGCCAGCCCTCCAGAGCTTCTGTTCAAAACTTTTATTGATTTCAAATGTTCTTTACTTTGAAATCAAGAGCAAAAAAATATGCCGTAATTTTCATGAATAGCAGCGCTGGCATTGAATCCAAACCAAAATATTGTGAAAATGTATTACAAAACGAGAATAAAAAAAGAGAGTTTAATATCAATAAAGAATTAGGGAATTAATGAAATACATGCACTTCTATGCGGTTTTCATTCAACTTTAAATTCAACTTTAATTTAATGTTCAAATAGAGAATTTCCAAACAATTAGCTTAACATTAATAACAAATCAATTACTTTATATAAAAGATTTAATTTAACATAAATACCATATTATTAAAAACATATAAAATACATAGAATTCTGAGAAAATGGTGAAATAAATTTGGTTTTAAATTAAAAACAATGCAATTTATTTATTAGGTTTTGCAAAAGAGCATACATTATGTAAAATATTGGGCAACATTTTATACACAAGTATTTCATTTGAACAGGTGTTGGCCTTAGACTTCATTATGCAATATAGAGCTCCAAATTTGACTTTAATTTGCGGCAAAACTTATATCAAGTCAAGTATACAAAAAAATCGTCATTTAAACTAAATTTTAAATTTGTATTATACTAATTATTTTAAATTATGTAAATTTTAACAAGCCATATTTTTTAAATAAAAATGACTGCTGGAATGAATAAAAATGGCAAAAATTTGTGTGCCTATTTCACAAGTATTACACTACAGAGACAATGCATTAGTGATAGGGAAATAGAGAACATATTTGTAATAAATATTTGTAAACTAAGAATTGGAAAGATTTTGTGTTTGTTTGAGTGGTTTGTCATAAATTCTTATTATTTTTGTACAATGTTTTATTATATCGGAAATTCATATGATTTTATACAATATGTAAGCTTTTGTTTCCATGAAATCTTGAATTTTATTTATTTGCTATAAAAAGTAATTCAAGCGTTAGTTTTGTAAAACATTGTGTTTTATGGCATCAGCTAAACATAGAGAGTGAGAGCTAATAGTCTGTACGTACGGAACCGTATATCCAATATATTCTGTACAATAAGTAGTATAGGCTTAGCCACTATTGTGTGTATATTCTGTATACTGTATATACGGCATATCTGAGCCCTATTTCTTACATATTATATAATATATGTTCGCATGAGATATGGGATGAAAACAATTTCGGGAGCGTTTGCTTAGATATGAGTTATGGGCTCTGATTTCTAGTAATAGCTTTCTTATTGCTTTAATATGATCTCCTGAGGAGTTTTACTCGTCATATATTTGGCTTTTGCCATACATTTGCCATAAACCGCCCAAACAATTGATATTAAAAGATATGATAGCCTTTTAGTGGCAAAAGACTCAACGATTTTTATGTTATATGTTGTGTCAGATTATTATTACGACTCACATCACAAACACTCGCAAAGGCTTATCACAAGAGTGTCTAATTTATTTAGAAATATCTCGTTTATTCATATCATTACTATTCATACGTAATATTCCGCATATAATGTGTATCACATTATTGACCACTATAATTTTTTGTATATCTTAATTGTGCAGGTGCATTCTTAGTGCCATATTTATTATGTCTGATTTTGGCCGGAATTCCCACTTTCTTTTTGGAGGCATCGCTCGGACAGTTCCTGGGCATCGGTGGTGTCAGCGTCTGGAAAATCTGTCCAATTTTCAAAGGTTTGTCAACACGTATTGTACGCGAAATCGCTCACAACATACTACTCCTAACACACGTATCAATAGAATAGCTTATGTATGATAAGACGAGACCAATTTCCTCCCTTTCCTGTGTGTGCTATCAAATATTATTCAATTTGTTTCCCTGGTTATTGATTTTTCAAATTGAAATCATATCAACATTTTTGGCCAATAAACTTTGTTTACAATTATTAGTATTGTAAGTGTTTTATAAAAATCATTTTATACACAGTAAATATATTTGTTAAGCCAACAAATTACAATTATTAAGCAATAATACTGCCACCCTAACAAAGTAATTGCAGTCAAATATGACTTATTTTATATATTAATGCCAAGTAATGATGTTTTTATTTTGTTAACTACTCTACAGTAAACAATTCAAGAATCTTTTGCTTTAATAGTTTTATTAAATGGTTTACACTGTTTTTTAAAGTAAATTCTATATTAATATTTTAAAACAGTATCAAAACATTTGTTTGTCAATTATGTAAATTATATTCAAACATTTTTGTAAGTTTAAAGATTTTGCAATCATTTATACATTAAATCTCTTGTTTAAGCTATGATAAAAATATAATTATTAATTTAATTAAGAAAAGTTAATAATATAATTATGTGAACATTACCCAATGCTTAATAATTAGTCCCTTTTATCCTATTAGTAGAAGCAATGCTTTGCTGATAAATATAATCGTTTAATTCAATTAAACAATTACCGATTCTTATGACTACTCCAAACAACAGTTGCAGTAAAGTATTGATCGATAAGAGATTTTTACAGCAAAAAAATAATTTAATAAAATTCCCAGAATTTACTAATTGAGCCAAAAAACAGAAATATGTTCAGTATTTCATTGAAAAAATTCTATTTAATGATGTCTTGTGAGTCCTTTACTTTTAGTTTTACAGTATTTTATAAAAAAAATACTTTCTTTTATATAAAAATTCTTAGCAACTGTTTTGTACTTAAATTTAATTAAAGAATAATATAGAATAAAAAGCTTTTCTGGCTTACATTTTCTCAAACATAATTATTTATTTATTTATGAAGATTTAATACATAGTTAAGTAAAGATAAATTTTTACTTAAACTGATCAATGGAATTAGCCTGAATATAATGTTTATAAATATTATTCATAAATAAAAATTAAATTCCATTAAGACTTTAAAGTAATCAATAAAAATTACAATATTTTTGTATTCAAGTAACATTGAATTATGTTGAGATAAATCATTATATTGATATTTCAATATTAATTTAATCTACAAATTAAAATAACAAGTATTATACTACAGATATATATAAATACTAGGTTTTGAATAGATCCGTAAAATAAATTGCAGCAATGAAGCATAAAATAAAAATTGTTTTAACCCAAACAGCAATCAAGAATTAAAAGTAAAAAACAATTTGAGAACAAACATATTAATCATTTGCTTCAATCAATACTTTACTTTTATTTAAATCTATTGCTGTTTAAAATTCTTGTATTTTATATTTAATTATTTATATAATTTATAATAATAATAATTGTATAAAAATAATATATAAATTTAATTAATTTGTTTATTTTAAATAAATTTAAATAAAATATCAATATACATAAAAACAGTTATAGATTTATCTAAAAACTAGAATCAAGTGCTAAACAAATGAATTATATAAAGACAATAATTAATTCTAGTATTTCAATAGTAATCTAATTTACGGTCATTTGGATAACTGATTGCAAAAGAGGACACACTTTTGAAACAAGTGACCAGAAGTGACAGCTTTTAGATATTATACTGAATATGATTAATGCAATGTATGTATGGATATATTCACATGCATTCAAGCTCCCTGTGCCTCTAAATATTACTTTATTATAATTAAAATTTTTGTTCGCAATCTACTCGTGTATTTACTGGGAAACGACCGAAACATTTTCGCTATATATTCATAAATTGCAAAATCATATTCAAAAATGTCGACATTTTTCTAATTTTTGCTGATTTTCTACTTTTCATTCAAAATATTTTCAATGAATAAGCATTTTGTATGTAATTTGGAGGATAAAAATTTCAAAAATCACTTGTATATTGAATGAATTGAAAGAAATGTTTCCCTATTTTTATTACAATAAGAAAAATGTTATAAAATTCATTAAATTGAAAATATAAAGTATGTAAGGATTTGAGGTTTTCTACCAAATAAATTTTTTATGGAGTTTATATTATAATGTCTAATGAATAGTCACTTTAACTGTTTACAAAACATTTATAACCAATTTATTATAAAATACTAAATATTGAATAAGTTTAACAAATAATTCAATTTGAATTTGTTTAAAATATATAGTTTATAAATTAATTTTAAATAATTTATAATAAAGTTATCTAGATCAGAAAATACTAGAACAAATATAGATTGAAAAATATTATTCTCAATGATTATAATCGATTAAAACATATTTGATTTATGATTTAAATGTAAAGTATACATTATTCAAATTTAACTCAAGTTTTATACATAATTATGGTCAATCGGTAAACAGCTTTCGTATTATTACCGTATTTAGTTTTGCATTTATACAACATTTATTTTTTCTAAACGTTTATTTTTTTAATATGCTATATCGGAAAGAAATATTACATTTATGAACGATTTAAATATTATATAAAATATGTTTACAGTAAAGAATATAATATTAAGAATAACAGTATATACAGTAAAGTTGTTATTATAAATTCTGTATATAATAAATGAATACATATTACAATTCATTATGAATATAATATTTTAAATATAAATCATAGTCCAAGTCAGTCATTTAAATTAATTTATTCTCAACAAAATAAGATGTTTATTACCGAGATAATTTATTCTGAAGTCAATTTTTCCATCAAATTATTCTTTCTATGGATTATGTCTAACTGTTTTAACATCCTTATCTAGTTTTGGGTATTCGGATATCAAATAGTAATGTTCATGGATGAGTTATTTCACTAGTGATAGCATACTTAAATCAATATTCTAGAAATAAATGTAAAATATACAAACAAAATTAAACGATCATGTGCATACACACCAAACCTAAGCATACATATGTTGATCAAACAATTAATTATTAAACTAATCATTAATAATAATTATTATAATTTATGAAAAATTTTGAGAAAGAAAGTAAGATATAACTTATATATATACTGTATTAGTATCTACTACTGACTTGTGAGTACAATTAAATAGTAGCCAAGAAATGATTTATTAAACAATAATTTGCAGCTTAACTGCAAAACAGAAAAACCTAAAAAATAAGGCGAATTGAAAGCAATTGTTTTTGAATACATCAGGAGTGGGTTACGCGGCGGCGGTGATGGCATTCTGGCTGAACGTGTACTACATAGTGGTGCTGTCGTGGGCCATGTACTACCTGTACCACTCGCTGTCGTGGGACGTGCCGTGGAGGGGCTGCTCCAACGCCTGGAACTCTCCGAAATGCAAATCCGAGTACGATTTAGCCGACGCCGAGCGCGAGTGCTTTATTAAATACGGGCCGACCACCGCTTTCTGCAAAGCCAACGCCTCACACTTCTCCAGCCCTGTCAAGGAGTACTGGGAGTACGTACGGACTGTCCCACAAACACCCTCCTAGACCACTGTCCACCATCACATACCTATATCCCGTCCCAATTCGTTGACCATATTATTCGTGATTAAGGCAATCGTGTGCTGATTGTGAATATTGTGTTACAGGAAGAATGTTCTTCAGGTGACGCCAGGAATGGGCGATTTGGGAGGAGTGCGCTGGCCTTTAGCTCTCACCCTATTTATAGCGTGGGTGGCCTGTTATTTCGCCATCTGGAAAGGGGTCAAATGGACCGGCAAAGTAAGTCTTTCCATACATAATATTCTCAACACTATTATACGATTGGACACTATTATTGATATTGTGATTCTGTACAGTATTTAATATCAATCTTTAAGTTTAGTACTGATTTTAATATTGAAAAATTATCTTTTTAAACTTGCTATTATTTTATTTATAATAATTATAGTAAAGATTATAGTATCATAGTAATGAATGATTAAAATAAGCTAACTTGTAAGTATAAATGTTAGAGTATCTCGTAAAAACTAATGATTTTTCATGAGTTTGATAAAATAATAAAATATCAAAGGATTATTCAATTAGCAATTAGTGAAACAAAATTGATTTGTGACTTAATTTGAATATCAAACACATTTATATATTTAATTTGCTGAGATTAAAGTACATACTATACTCACAAGTCAGTATAGTATATTTTAGTGTTTTAATAATAATACAGTTGGCTAGAATTCAAACTATAAATCGAATGTATTATATTATTATGGGTTATTCCTAAATTATTCCTATGTGGATTATTCCTAAAGCACTCAAAATCAGGTTTAATATACAGTACAATAAATATTTTAATTTTCTATCCTTTCATAATTTTTAAATTTCTAATAATTAATATTCATTATTTTAATAATTTATTATCTTATTTATACTAGAATTATTTATAACTCTTTTCTATACTATATAACAAACTATAATTAACAATATATTAATTATTAGATGATATTTATTTAATTTCCATATACGGTAAATACTTTATATCTCTTATTTTAAATTTAAATAATGCAAATAATACCTAAATCTAGATTTAAAATAAATATTTATTAAAATTTCTATACACTATACGGTAATATCAATATTAATATTAAAATAAAAGAGGCATTGAGTCCAAAAATTCAACACAAGAGTATAAATAGTATAGATTGTGACCATATATTAACATTAATTGTTATAATAGTGTTCATAAATAACCGAGAACCAATGTGCACTACATATATAAATTGATTTTGAATGAGAGATAAATTGTCATTAAAAGCCACTGACTTGTCATCATATCACAGGTCGTCTATTTCACGGCTGTCTTCCCCTACATATGTTTGGTTATCCTACTGTTTCGCGGAATAACACTTCCCGGCGCATGGGATGGCATTATGTTTTATTTGACACCAAAACTCGATCGCTTAGGAGATGCTAACGTAATGACCGCTAAACCTATCGCTAATTATAACACATAAAATATATGATTACCCTCTATCAAACCAAACACACCAAAAATGCCTTATATATACTGTACTAGTATTATGATGTCTAACGATATATTATTTGTTGGGGAACTGTAGGTCTGGAGCGACGCGGCCACACAAATCTTTTTCTCGTACGGTCTGGGATTAGGCGCGTGGATCGCATTAGGAAGTTATAATAAATATAATAACAACGTTCACAAGTTTGTTTATCTCAAATATTTTCAACTCCACACAAATATCATTCTCAGTGCTCTCTCTCTCTCTCTCTCTCTCTGAATATTTTTATATTTTCTCGCTTTTCTGATGACAATATTATTACATTTTCCTTTCTGTGATTCAAATACCCAGGGATTCGTTGATAATATCGTGTATAAACAGCGGAACGTCAATTTTTGCCGGCTTTGTTGTGTTCAGTATTATTGGATTCATGGCTAGAGAGCAGAATAAACCCGTAGAACAGGTGGCAGTTTCTGGTATGTGTTCACCACTTATTTTAATTACAAATTCTTCAGTCTATAAGTTATGGACATATTTTTCTAGCGTAGATTTCACTGGTTGTTACAAATGTTATTGTAGGAGAAATTGTGTTTATTTTTAGATTTGCATTATTAATAATTTCTAAAAATATTCTTAAATATTCATTCAAAGAATACTATACAATAAACTAGAAATATAATAAATAAATAATTAAAATTTAAATAAGATAAAATTATTTAAAATACTAATTATTGTGACTTTGAAAAGGCTCGGGTCTGGCGTTCTTGGCGTATCCATCGGCGACACTACAGCTACCGATATCTCCTCTTTGGGCGGTTTTATTCTTCCTAATGATCATTATGTTAGGTCTGGACAGTCAAGTAAGTGACACTTCTTTACTACCATTCATTCATCATAAGCTGTCAAAACAGACTCAGATTATCATTATTACCATATGATTATTGTATTCTGTAATATTCTGTAAATAAGTATAGAAATAATAATAATAGAAATACAGATAATAGTAATTATGACTAAAATATTGATATAATTTGTATGAATTGATGCCATAGTTCTGCACAATGGAAGGCTTCTTCACGGCTGTCATCGACGAGTGGCCGCGTCTTCTTCGTCCGCACAAAGAGTTATTTATTTTATTCGTTTGTGTCATCTCTTACTTAATTGGACTCATCTTTGTTGTCGAAGTGTGTGGACAACCATTCTTTACGTTACCGTCATTTTCCTAATCTTATGACACGATATCTAAACCCGAGTTTCTTTTATGTTTTGCGACCAATAGGGAGGCATATATTGGTTTGAGTTATTTAATACATACGCCGCGTCCGGCTTTGCGCTCCTGTATCTCGTCTTTTTCGAAGTCGTCGCCATTTCCTGGTGTTATGGTTAGGAATATTCAATATAATAGCACTTATCATATATTCCTATCCATCCATTCATTCATACCATTTGCTCCGTTCGCCTCAATATCACTAAATATTTAATTTTGCAAACACTAGGAGTCAATCGATATTATGCTAATCTGGAGGATATGCTCGGGGGAAGTTTGTGCATTTGGTGGAAATGCTGTTGGTTTGTCTTCACTCCCACCGTCTGCTTTGTGAGTATACTATATATATAACCACTTTCTTAGACCAAACAATATGTTAATTCGCTTTACAAGAAATAACAACAAAATACAATCTAATCAAAGCTAATGAGTGAATCGATTGCCATTGAATGCCGTTATAGGGAGTGTTCATATTCAGCATGGTCCAGTACCAGCCACTTAAGTACATCAACTACGAGTACCCCTGGTGGGGCGAAATGGTCGGCTGGATCTTAGCCCTGTCGTCGATGCTCTGCATCCCTGGTTACGCCATTTATATTTATCTTAACACATCCGGCGATTTTTCTGAAGTAATTCTTGAGATCGATAAATTATTGTTGTAATTAAATGCTTATTAATGAATTAATTTAATTAATTATTAGAAAATGAAAGTATTATTGAGACCGGATATGACCACAATCGAGGCCGAAATCAGACAGAGAGCGCTCAAGGAGTCAGGTCTGACAACTGTGACTCCAGTCTAACGATGGCTAACATAATAATTCTCATTTTTTTTGGTATATATTATGTTTAAACAAAACAATAATAATATTTATTCTGAGAGTACAGTACTTATCGTACTGATCCGTGAAAGTAATGCCATCGCAACTGCAGTATAAATATTACAATACATATAGAATTTGTTTTAAGAATTGCCAAAAACCCACGAAAACCATTGGAGTCATTGATTCTTGGCTTCCATTTGATGTTTGAGACAATTCTCAAACACATAAAACAAATGATTGATATATTAATGTCAAAAACAATAGAGTAATTCTTAAGTAAAAAACCAAAATATACTACAATTTATAGTGAAAAGCATTAGCAAAAGGATTTAAACTCTCAAACATAATGTTAATGCAAATGTTTGTCTTCCAAATAAATTACAAATACAGTAACAAAACAAAACTTATAACTTATTTGTAATTCTTGTAAACTATTCTATGAAATACTTTTTTGAGTTATCGATTGTCACACTTATATCATATAACATAAACATTTTGATTGCCTTTTCTCTGGAGTTTGAGTCTTATATATATTTGAAGATAGAAATTACGATTAAGACAAATAATAACATAACTAATTAATGATAACAATTATCATTATAAACAAACAAAACATAGTCATTATTATTGATATAATTATATAACAATTAGTTAACATTACATATCAATTGAGACAAAACAAAGTGTTAAAGTTGTTGATTGAATAGGGCTTCCAAACAATTCACATGAATTGCATACCAAACGTCTTTCTCTCGATTACAAACCAAACAAATCTATTACCAAATCGAGGGCTTTAAGACAAAAACAATTCATTATAGTTTTTAAGTTTCATATATTATATATAAATATATACAGTATATAAAAAGAAAAGTCATTATTAAATCTAATGCTCATTAATTGTTTTACTAATCCTTTACTTATATATTGTTTTCCCAAAATGAACAACACTTTCAAGAAAAAAAATCAAATTGTGATTATATATAAGATAATATAAAAATATATGCTTCGATTGCCTAATTGTTAACTCATTTACAAAATATTTATTCATTTTGTGCTTCACTTTGAAATTTAACAAAAAAAGAAAATTACAAAAACATAAAAATTCATTGAAACAAAAATGCAAACAAAATACTGATGTAATCCTGTCTTCCAGTAATTCTCATTACACTCTTAATTCTCTATCGTTTTATATTAATATATATATATCTAGAGTTTATTTGGATTAATATAAAAGTTTAGTTATATATAAATATTATATATATACAAAATATATACAATATTATACAACTATATTATTAAATAACTAAAAGTTGGGAGCAAACAAGAAAAAAGCTCCCTTTCCTCTCAGTTTCTCTTTGAATGTACAGTAAATTCCTTTGAATTTGAATTTGAATTTTAAAGACATATAATTATTCACTCGACATAATAAATAAACACGAGTTTTATGTTTTCTTTTGTAAAAGGAATACTCTTTTATTATCTATAAATAAATACTTTTCATAGAATATTATTTCCAATTCTTTGGTAAAATTGTTTTTTGTTCAAAATTCACAATTTATTGTATATTAATTTTAGTTAATACTTATAATAAAACGATGAGTTTATTAAATAAATAAGTCAAATGTCGTATAAATTATTAAATAAAATGTTCTTCTATTTAAATATCAAATAATTTTAAAATAATTTATATTTATAATATAGTATTATATTAAATGTAATTATTTAAAATAATAACTATAATATAAATGTATTTGAATTTCATACATAATATTTTTCACAAGTCGAGGTAAGTATAGAGTCTAAGTTTTTATTGAAAAAATATTTTTTCGCATTTAAGACACAAACAATAGGTTGGGAGAAGTATTGGAAAATATAGTATAATATTATATAAATATTAATAATATTCTCAATTGATTTATTGGAATTGAGTTACTGTGCATATAATGGTTGGGAACTGAATTACTGTATTCAGTAAATAACCTGTCATTTGGAGGCAAAGTTTTTGAATGAATAATAAATATTTGTATATTAAATGACAAGTAAATGATTTGCTTGTAATTTATTTTTAAAAACGTATAATAACTCGAGACAAACAAATTATTAAGTGATTAAACGTTTATTGATTACCATATCAATCAAGTGAATTATAAATGCATTTTGAATCGTTTGTATTTTCAAACAAATGGTTTATTTTTTGTTTTTATTTCAATGTATGTCAAGCACAGCGGAATCCAAATTAAAATCAATACCAATGATTCATATAATATGAATCATATAATAGATTCATAAGAATATCTATTCTTAGATTTCATCGTAGGTTAGTATGACTCCCATTGAAACTTTCGGATCAAATATCGTCTTTGAAATTCAATTACATACACTAAATATAATATAATGAATAAGTTTATTAACCAAACGATTCAATAGTCGAGTTATAATCTAGCCTTTGATTACATGGCAGTTGATGTTAACCAGCAGTTAATTATCAGTTCATTTCTTTGAAAAAAATAACTATAAATACAATATATTGTACAGAAGTTTGAATTACAGTAAAGGGTGCGGTTTAGACATGATTTACAAACATTCACTCAAATAGCGACGCGATTGCGAAAGAATTACACAATTCAAAGGGATATCATATGAATTCTTAATAACTAATCAAAATGTTAATATATTCTCATTAATATAATTCATATTAAATTAATCAATTAAAACGACTATTTAATTCAGCTATTAGACAGTTTTCATAAAAAATAAAAAGCATAGAACATTATAATAGTGCAATAAAAGTACTACAAATATAGTTTTAATTTAATAACAATTTTATTTGAACGAATTATAAAAATGCTATTATTATATTAAAAATATTTGATGTTATGATATAATTAGATATCATACAACATAGAGAATTGTGTTAACAAAGTAAACGCACGCAAATTTCCGTTGTATATTCAAGGAAATTTTTGTGATAAATTCTTATAACCAAAGCAAGTAAATTATCAGAAAATCAAATAAAGGTTTTAGTTTCATTCAGCACTTTAATTTTTAGGATAATTTAAAATTATAAGTTTAAATTTGATGAAAATTCACATAATTGATTAATTGAGAGTACAATCATGAAAACACAATTCATAGTTTTAGTTTTACACAACTTTAGAAAACACATTTTTAGTTGATATCTATTGAAATATTAAAACATTGTACAAAAAAATATCTATATCGCCGTAATGGTGCTTTAATAAATGAATTAATATTATTTATTATACATTTATTTTGTGATTATTTTAAATTTTAACAGATAATTTACAGGTAATTTCTGTAAATATAGAAATTGACTGGATGTTACATTAGATTTTCCAACGTATCATATCTTTTGTTATAAAATATCCTTATGTTATTGGGGTTTGATATTTCATATTATAATCGATGAGAGAGAGAGAGAGAGAGAGAGAGAGAGAGAGAGCACTCAAATTAGTTAAGCCGTTGGAAATTACATTTACTGATAGATTCAATAATACCTGTATACTATATAATATAACTGTAAACATCAAATATTTAAAGGTATTATTTATGGCACTGAAAACTAATAAAACTCTTTTGTTATATTAATATATATAAGTCAAACATTATATGAACTCAAACTCAATAATAGTTGGCAGGTGTTGGCCAACAGATAGTAAAACGAGTGGTCGTTGAAAATGATGTAAACTTAGTGTCAGTTATATTCGTAAGATTTATTGTAAGATTTGATTCTTATATTGACTTTGAGAAGCATAATGTTAAGAGTACAATATACTATATTATATTGAATTACTGGAAACAATGTTCTCAACGATCATAACCCACACAAATCATCTCAATTCAGATGAGTCTTACATGAATTTGTATTACACATCAAACATCACATACTTGTTGAGTACTATACTGTTGAGTGTGTCGGCAGTGTTGGCCATTCCGGGCAATATTCTGGTCATTATTATTGTCCTCAAAACACCGATCCTTCGCTCGAAAGCTGTTAATCTACTTATCGTTAACTTGTGTTTAATAGACTTAATCACCACTTGGATTGATATACCATTGATGTGGGCTATACTTGAGTTTAATTACAATCGGACTAAAGTTTTTGAATGGTTGTGCAAATGCCAGATCTTCTTTCATGCCATCTCAAGTTCCGGCCAGTCGTTTGCTTTTGTATCCGTTGGTATAAACTATATATATGTTATTAATATTTATTTTTTCCTATTTAATGCCAATTCCTATGTTTATGATAATCAGGTTATGAAAGATATCATTCAATTTCAAATCCTTTTGATAAAGAAAAAACTCGTCACATAACTCACATCTGTATTATATTTTCGTGGATCATCTCTATTATCATTGCATTTATTAACTTATTTCTAGGTATTATATCAAATATTATTAATATAATCAATATTCTGCCATATCATTAACATTATAATAAGATTATCATTAAATTTACATTAATTCTATATGTATTCTGTTTGTAATAAAAATATTTTCTCACGCTGAAAGTACCAGACACAATCACATACGAATTCTGTATGATGTCTACAAACTATAGCCAACACCAAGCCATGTCTTACATAATCGCACCGTACGGTTTAATATGTTTTGTTTTAATTGCATTTTTCTACACAAGAATCGTATGGTTAGTAAGAAAACATTGTAAGACTGCAAACACTACGCTTAGATGTGTACCGATCGGCACCACCACTACCACCGATGCCTCGACAGCTTCAGCCCAAACACAACCATCGGGTTCAGTACTAACGCCGGGATCGGACGTGCCCTCAATATACGGTGACATCTGTGTTATGGACAGTAAGAACCGATCACTCGGGAGGCGTCGAGTAGAGGCCGAGACGGCAAAGCGCTCGTTACTAGTGATGGCCTCCTTTATCATCATTTGTCTGCCGTATCCTCTATTAGTTCTCATCGAAAAAATGATTAATTCAGTCAATTATACGGAGATATATCAGTGGCAATACTGTGCGCATACCCTGTCATCCCTATCTGCGGGACTCAATCCACTTCTGTATGGATTGGCGAACAAACAGTTCCGGACAGCCTTTTGCAGAATTTGTCGAAATTATTATAAGAGATATAAAGACGGAGTGCTTTTTAACTGATATTAAAAAATAACTATTTATTTATAATACAATAACAAAAACTTTTTTATTTCGATACACAAAAAGACGATAAATGTATTTATTTATTGCTATTATATTATATATAAATGTATTATACAACATATATGAGTGACAATCAAACACATAAAAATTCAAATTCAAGCTAAACATAAAAATATTTCACACATAAATTATATAAATCTATCGAAATTCAGATTCTGTGTCTTTATTCTGAGATAAGTCTCTTTCAGCGAGTCGTAAATATGGCGAAACATACGACACTCGTGGACGGCGTGGGAAGTGTTGGTGCGATCAAAGGGCTCTTCGATGCAAATGTGGCACCAGGACTGCCACACTTTGCCGTTCAGGTCGTATTGGGGCACCAGTTCTGAGCGGCTTATCAGAGCGCTGGTACGAACGCTAATGGCTTTCACGAAATCAAAATTGAGACAAAAGTACTCCAAAAACTCTGTGAAGAGTTGACCCAACTTTTGAGAGTTTTTCGTGCGAAACCTCACTTTCTTGTAGTCCTCCAGACGAAGACGAGTCACCTCTTCGACAAACAGCTCCGGGTACTCCTTCTGCAGACACGGAACCACTGGAGGGTTGCATACGTTCTGCAGGTAATAGATGGCCATCAGTGCAATGCTATAAGACGTGAGACTCTTATTGAAGGCAGAGTTGATGCCGTTCTTGCGGGCCCACAGTTTGAGGGTCAGTATGAGTGGTGCCACTCGCGAGTCCATCTGACAGTACATATGCATGAGGTGTGTGTTCCTTATGGTGACGATTCGGTTCACATTAATGTTTACTTCAATTCCCGTCGAGCTCTCGATGAACTTGAGAATGGGTACGAGCGCTGGGATCACCTGCGGGTTGTCCGACACGCTATTCGACTGCAGTATTTGCTTCAACTCTTCCAGCTTCGAGAGGACGGTATGCTTATTGTCATACCTCTTGTCAATGTTGTCCTCCGAGTCGTAAATAATGAGACAGAAGTCGGTGTCACTCGAGTTACAGCCGAAACCCGTGAGCGAAGAGCCGATCAAATACAAGTCGATCTTCTCCTTCATTTGGGACGACAATAATGTATAGAATCTCTGTCTGAGGGCTAACTTCTTCTCATAGATCTGTTGCGTTTGGATCTGTTGGCGATAAATGCCGAACAGAGTTGAGGTCAACAGCTGTTGGCGGCCGTACTGTCCGTACGAGATATGAGAGCCCTTAGTGAGAGCCAAGTCATCGCCGGTACGCTTCCCAATCAATGCCTGTCCGGCGCCTGTGTGTGACCTCATCTCCAACATCGCTACCACTCTTGCGGACCAGTTCTCAGAATAGATGACTATTTCTATAACAATAAATAGTTTTCGTCAACCGTTTACTGAAATCCTTTTCATAAAACTTATGAATCGAATTACTATTGCATTAGTTGTCGGAAATCCAAATCCCAATTGGATTGTCTCATGCGCGCCCACGAGCTATCGAAATACGCGATTATAATACAGTGTAGCGTTGATTACACACCAAATTATTTCACGATCAGCTCAATAGTGCCGGAATAGTGTGTGAATAATAGGCTCACAAATTGCTAAGATATAGCATTTAAGCTCTACTTTTCACCCTTTCCTATCCGGGTGGGCGTCAGCCACTAAACTATATGTTAGAAAGTTTGCGAGTCTTATGTGTTCCTTACTGCATGTATATTGAGACAAATTATCAGTTAAGTCTCTTACATCCGGGTCGGTTAAGTTCAAGTCTACCACCAAATAATACTCTGACATCAGAGTGAATGTCAAACCAAATGTTTGTCACGAAAATGTTTATGAAAGCAGTAATTGATTGCAAAGTATGATTCACTTGTGCAACATATTGTAAATTTCAAAGTTTATGGTATAATTGAGTGCTATTTTTAGGTACGGCAATTGAAAAATGCATTTACGATAATATTGAGTTGTTTTTATGTTTCATGAATGAAAAGCAACCTTTTTAACAAAAAATATCGAAATTATGAAAAATGTCTAATTTTAGAGTATGTGCTGTTTGTTTGTCACACAAATTATATGCTTAAACATATAATACAAACTTATTATTTTTTGTGACATTTACTCTCAATTCCAGTATAGAAGTATAGAATAAATTAGTTTTCCACTCGTTTAATTAAATATTGTATTATATTATGTCAATACCTGTAGTATTGAGACACAGGTGTGTGTATAGCAGTAATGAGTAGGAGTAGTAATACTGTTAAATCTATAATTAATTGAAACGGAATTCAATGCGAAAATGTGTTCAAATGAATGAATGAACTACTGTTTCATCACATTTGCTCTCTAAATATATTCAAGAACTCTCAGAAATCCATTTATTTAGTCATTAAAAGTATTTACAGCAAAAGTGTTTATAGTCTATAAAGGATCTAAAATTAATTTTCAAAAATAACATATTATTTAATTCATAATGAACTAAAACAAACATTGACTGAAAAAATAAAAAATTTTCATTAAATGTTGTTAACATTGTGTATAAATTTATATCTAAATTTGAATTTCTCTACCTGTATACTGTACATCAATAACCGATTGTAATTCAATGAATTTAACATTTTTCTATATAAATATCATGTTATTAAAAATTTCCTGAATTTTTGCTTCGATTTTTTTTGACAACTGATAATATTTATTAATATTAGCGCACATTTTATTCATATAACAATTAAATGTTAATATAATAATAATTTATTAGACAAACATAACAATTATTAGTATATCTGTTGTTGAATATACCGGTGCAGTATACAGTATATAGTTATATAATCTATAAATCATATATATTATTTGTGAAATCCGGAATCAAAGGTTTAAATGAAATTCGTATTCAATTTCAATATACAAAAAAAACTCTATTTAATAATTAAAAATATTTTGTGAATTTAATAAAATTTCTATTTTCAGTATAATCTGGTAATAATAAAATGATTTCTAAATTTAGCAAATATTTATACTGCATTGTAAATATAATACGAATACAAAAGAGACTTAATATTTTCATTTTCATGTACATTATCTCAAATTTCTAATAATTTTAGTGATCTTTAGACTTATATAAAACAAAAACGAGTTAATTATATTTTCCACGCAAATACACTGTTAAATGCAATTTATATCGTATTAAATTCCATGACACTGTATAACAAATTCTTTAATAAACAAAATTCTGTTACAGAATATATAAATAAATATTCCGTTTATTATACAATACTCTTTGTATTATATTTATATATGCCATCAATTCGTGTATTAAAAGGCAATGAGTATAACGGGTTTGCAAATCATTCCCTCTTATCTTGTTTTTTCAATTAAACAAAAGAAAAATAAAAGACATTTAAAAATACTAATAAAATAAAGAAAAAGTTTGCGACTGAATGGCGCGACACAGAGCGCCGGCCTCGCAGTTAAATAACTTATGATTTCCTAATTAAATATACAAATATTATACATTCATACATCAAATATAAAAATATACACATATTTTATCGTTGTCTCTTATTTTTAAACTCTTTATATGATAATTATAATTAAGTCAAGAAACAAAAACTCAAGACTTTTTCTGTCAAAACAGATAACGTATACTCTGCTAATTAAATACCCTTATTATTGGATGCAATAAAACGGAATATAATTAAAAATATTACTATACTTTTTCATTCAATAGTAATGATATTTGTGTTAATTATATGCGAATAGAAATTAATCAATAATTGACTTCATTTACTGTAAGCTAGAAACTCGTCTGCAATTAAATATTGATTAAAGGATAAAAAATAATTCAAATATTTAATTGGTATTAAAAAGTCATAAGAAATATATATTGGATATAATAATATTGAATAATCAGCAAATAATTGGTAATTCTCAATTTATTTGGCAATTGTTTTGGAGTGTTTGCGTCAGTTATTGTGTCGTGAAATCACATGAAAATACTGCTAAATATATCGCTATTATATTCACAGCCGTCTAATTCAATGATTGCCAGATATTAATGAATTGCTATAAATATATGATGTAATGTATTAGAAGGCGTTTTAGTTGAATATAATATCGATCGAAACGACCTTTAAGTTTAGAAATATAATTATCGTTTAAATATATACTTGTATATTATCAAAATGAGAGAATAAAAAGTAATATAATTATATTTTTTATGCAATTTATGTGTTAACCCTTTATGCTCTGAGGCTATGGAATACTTATGAATGGCAATCATTTGAAATGTATATTTCTTACTAACTTTTTGATTTTATTTATTGTTTCGTTCGCATAGTTAACAATAATTGATGCAATAAATTGCAGGGAATTATACTGGGGATTAAAATAACAAAAACATAATAAAAGTAAAAACTTGTGTTTAAATTTTTTCCATTCATAACACACATTCTTTGCCCGTATATTTGCTAATCAATCTGTTTTTACAACCACTTAATTTCATTAACTTATTATGTGTTTAATGAATCGCATAATTGTCAACACATTTCGTCTACTCTTATCTCAAGAATCTGTTGAATATTTATATAATTAAATCATATTTTATTAGACTATTCTGTAGAGTGTTTTATAACATCTATATGTTTACAAAGAAAACGCCAGAATTTTGTTGAATAATAGAATTAATCATTAATTTTAATATCAAGAATAAAAATATGGCATAAATTCCTATTCTCTCGTGATTTCATCAAAACGTTTTCTTTTCTTAACGTAAAATATTTAAAGTTGTTTTCAAATACCATATAATTATATGACGTCTTGTGTTTAGGACACGACTCTATATATAAAACGCCAATACGTTTGCCACTCGTCAAGGACTGACACCCGACTCACTGCTCAAGACTTTCGCACATTTCTTACTAAACATTTCTTGTGGAGTCTTATAGTCGGCTCTCATTGACACCAAAGCGAGAGAGAGAGAGAGAGAGAAAGAAAGAAAGAGAGAGAGAGAGAGAGAGAGAGGTGTAGGAGAGAAATCAAATTCTTTTTTATGAATTACTTCTTTAATAAGTTTTAAGCGAAAATAAGAAAGCATTAAAAAACTTATAAAACTATCTAATATTATAAACGTGTGTATGAAGTGGATTGCATTGAATTGGCGACTGAATGGCGACTTTAACGGCATTTAACTTTATATAATTATGAGATATTCTGTACATATATTGTGATAATACTATGCAATGACAATGTAATGACAATTTTGTGCACATATTCTCGCAATTAGTGCTTATATTTTTAGATTACATGTGCGTTTACATGTAATCACTAATAACGATATGATAACCACACACACATTGATTTGATACGAAAATTTTTTAGCAATAAAACAAAACTTATCACAAAAAGTGTCTCATAGGAGACACAAGGCTTATCACAAGCAGCATATGATTTGATACGACAATAGGACTGGAAAGTGCCGGAGCTTATCGAGACCTGATGTTTGTCACATGAACTGTACTGTAAATTCTGGCTAATTGTCTGATAAACAGTTTACATTCATAGGAATTGTAGGTTTCACTTTCCATAGTAATAGCCTATTACTAATATCGCACTGACCTGTAAACAAATTGTAAATAAGCATGCTAATGTAGAATATACCGAGAATTGGTTTTGCAAATTGCAAATTGCAATCACCCTGGCAATTGACATAAAAGTTTAAAGGAATAAAAAGTTTTGTTTCATTCAATTGAAAAAACATTTAAAAAGGTTTTAAAAACTTTATATAAGTTTCCAATGCGATTAACCCTATAAGATGCATTAATTTAACTTTATACTCTAGCACACAAATTGGAGCAACTTTATTTCCCATTCTCCCCACATTCTGCATAAGCGGGTTCATGTTAGCCCTCTCGCATATATCTATTCTAATTCATATAAATCTGATAAGCGATTCAATATACAATATTCTTCATAGGAATTGTAGGTTTCACTTTCCATAGTAATAGCCTATTACTAATATCGCACTGACCTGTAAACAAATTGTAAATAAGCATGCTAATGTAGAATATACCGAGAATTGGTTTTGCAAATTGCAATCACCCTGGCAATTGACATAAAAGTTTAAAGGAATAAAAAGTTTTGTTTCATTCAATTGAAAAAACATTTAAAAAGATTTTAAAAACTTTATATAAGTTTCCAATGCGATTAACCCTATAAGATGCATTAATTTAACTTTATACTGTATGTTTTATAAACTTGACACTTATTTGACATGAGTGTTATTAATACCGAGAGTTAACTGTAGATAAAAATCAAAACTTTTTTTGTTTAAATAAATGGTGCACTCGTTTCGAGCGTAAAACTGGTACTGTATTTACTAAATACTATTTAGTATCAAAAAAAGAGCCCGGGAGATATAGCCATTTGACATATTCCCTTATATGAGGTCATTGAAAATGAGGGGACAAATGGGGCACAAGAGCTAAGCTTCTACACCAATGTACTTTATGAATGGACATCATTTATTTGAAAGGAGGGCACAAATATTGTACAATACTGTAGTAACGATACGTGCGATAAATGCCGGGCATAATGCCCTGGGAATAGGCCTCGAGTGGGCATCAGTATAGTGGTGGCAGTGCTCGCTGTGTGCGTCTACTGTGTGTGCGGCGCAGTCTCAGTGCGCACTCGCGAGTGAGTGGTGTGTGAGTGGTGTGTGTTGTTGTGTATTGTGTCTCACATACAGTGCGTACAGAGAGTGTACAGCAATCGCGAGCCACCAGTCAGTGAGCAGTGAGTCTGTGATCAGCGCTCAGATGCGATGCGTCAGTACAACAGCGATATCGTTGACCAACCGCTGCCCAACACGACGCCCACCACTACCACCACCACTGCCTCCACCGACCAGCACAAGGAGGCCACGACCACCACTACTACAGCCGCCGTCGACCTCAACCACGACAACAACCACCACAACCACAACGACAATGAGGACAACGAGTCGGACGACGCGACCGCCGACGAGGAGACGGAGACGGCGCGCGACTCGTCACCGGACGGCCGGTTCCTGAAGTTCGAAGAGATCGGTCGCGGGTCCTTCAAAACAGTGTACAAAGGACTGGACTCGCGCGACGGTGTGGCCGTTGCCTGGTGTGAGCTTCAGGAGCGGCTCAACCGCAACGAGCGGCAGAGGTTTCGCGAGGAGGTGGAGATGTTGAAGGGTTTGCAGCACTCAAACATTGTCCGCTTCTACGACTACTGGGAGGTGAACAGTAAGAACCGGCGATACCTGGTCCTCATCACCGAACTCATGACCTCCGGGACGCTGAAGACTTATTTGAAGCGCTTCAAGAAAATAAACTCAAAAGTGCTGAAGTCGTGGTGTCGGCAGATACTGAAGGGGCTGAACTTTTTGCACTCGAGGACGCCCGCCATCATTCACCGCGACCTCAAGTGCGACAACATCTTCATCACCGGCACGACGGGGTCCGTGAAGATCGGCGACTTGGGTTTGGCGACGCTTAAGAACCGGTCGTTCGCCAAGTCGGTGATCGGGACGCCGGAGTTTATGGCGCCCGAGATGTACGACGAGCACTACGACGAGATGGTCGACGTGTACGCCTTCGGCATGTGTCTGCTCGAGATGGCCACCGGTGAGTACCCGTACTCCGAGTGCGTCGGACCCGCGCAGATCTACAAGAAGGTGTCGTCCGGTACGCCACCGCTTAGTATCACGAAAGTGGACAATCCGGAGGTGAAGAACATCATCGAGATGTGCATCCAAGTGAAGAAGGAGGACAGGCCTACTGTCAGGGAACTACTCAAACACGACTTCTTCGAAGAGGACGCCGGCTTCAAAGTGGAGTTCTGTGACAAAGAGCAGAGTGTGGCCGACTGTGACAGCAAAGTGGAGCTCAGGCTCAGGGTAACGGATCCCAAGAAGCGTAAGCACAAGGAGAACGAGGCCCTCCAGTTCTACTTCGACATCGACAACGACTCCGTCGACGACGTGGCCAAGGCTTTGGTAAGTGTCACCCCTGTGTCCACAGTATTAGTCCTCACCTCTAGTTTCTCATAAGCAGTATAATTGTGTTGACATATAATTGTAGCTAAATTTCGGTAACTTTTTCACTACATTACCAAATGAGCTATAATTACACCAATGAGTCAAATGTCACAGATTTTTATGCGTTTGTAAAAGTTGTTTAAATTTAGTTTTTGAATGCAAATCAAATAATATTGGGTCACTCAGACCCAAGTAATAGTGATTACAGTCTCATATCATTAGTTGACAATTGAATTGATTGAACCAACAACCGATTCAATATGTTTTCGACCAATTGTCATAATTAATGTCAATTGATTTAAATCTAATGTTTATTCTATTGATTCATAAATAGTTGTATTAAGTAGTCTTGACTTTGAGCTATTACTTGAATGATACTACTATGCAATTATACTTCCATTAGGGTAAAGGTGCAATTATATAGATTGCATACTTATTTTGGGAAACAAAAAATCATCGAAATCGACCTATTATTGTGGTAATTAAATACCACAATAATAGGTTAAATTGTTAATTATTTAAGCGTTGAGGGAACAGTACTATGAAAATGTCATCTTTTCGGGGGTATTCCCCGTGAGATGGGTAGACGATTGGGGAAAAGTGAGACAAAGTTAGCTATTAAAACATGATCGAAGCCATTGGACGTGTATTCATCATAAGAGAGTGTATGAATAAAAGCCTTGAAAATTGAGTATTTATTAGCATTTTTGTGACACACACTCGTCAAAAGCCTTTCAGATTTTTAGTTTTATAATATCTTGAGGTTTGGGTTCAATATCTCAAACCAGTGAAGACACAGACACTGCATATACAACAGCATTACGAGAGAAACACTCCACTCTTTAACCAGTGATTAATTATTAGACGTTTATATTTATGAGTTCAACGCTCTAAACCTTATTTTTTAACCGCCTTTCCTCGTCTCTCTCTCCCCTCTATCCCTCTCCTCCCGTCCCATCTATAGGTGGAAACAGGCTTTTTAAACAGCGAGGAAGACGTGCGAGTTGTGGCCCTTTTGATACGAAACCAGATATCGGTGCTCTTGAAAGAGAGGGAACAGTATCTCCTCCAACAGCAACAACTGGCCCAACAAAACCAGCAAAACTTAGAAAACTTAGCCACGAATTCACCGCAATTCGAGTTAATCCAGAAATTGCAACAACAGTACAAACACGCCGAGAGGATCACTAACGCCCGGGTCGATGACGTCTTCTCCGCTATCATTGAGAGGTCTGTCCCCTCACTTGTCTATCGTTTTGGCACTTTTGCCCGATTATTGAGTTTATGTTTTATTTATTCTGCAAATTGTTTATTCATTTTTGTGTTTTGTTTTGTTTTTCTTGATTTGTTAGACACGAGAGAGAGAAACGCGAGTTAGAAGAGAAGCATTTCCACGAATTGAATCTATTTTTCCTACAAAAGCATCACTTAAGCAATGAAAACATCTCAAACGACGACAAAACGAACTCCAGTTCCCAATCGGAGACGTCGACTACGCTGAGTGTCGCACAAGAAGCGCATCGACCCCAGAGTCCGTCGTCTCCGAGTTCGCCGAATGAGAGCCAAACGAATAGTGTTTCCGTTTGCTGTAAACCCAGTAATCAAAACCAACTGAACGACGAGTTGCTCATGAAATTGGTTCAGAACCTCAACAATCCGAAGGCCATGAATGCGGCCAACACTGCGTGCATTAGTCCCGTTCCTGACGACCACCACTTAAACATAGCCGACCAGCACCACAACAACAAACTCAACACCTGTGCCGCCTCCTACAGCACCAACAGCGGCACTCAGCCCTCGAGTACAGACTCGTCGGGCGCCGGTTGTTGTGAACAGTCGTCTCCGCTCAGAAGCGGGTTGTCTGCGCCCGGTCTCAGGCGCTCATCCAGTGATACGTTCGTCGACAGTGTGTTGGCGCCCAAGTACTGGTGCCATAACACGACCGCCGCGGCCGCCACCACTACCACCACTCCAGTCTCAGTCTCGCCAGCCCTGGGCATCATCTACAGGAGTCCGCCGATGGTCTCCTCCATGCCGTCGGCCATCAATAGTCACTCATTGACGACACAATTGTCACCGACAGTCGACGCGTGTATCGACAGTCACCACCACCTCCACCACAACAACGCATGTGATTCCGGTGCTTATTATACGAGTAGTTCCAATGATTCCGACAGTTCCAACGCAATGAGTTACACCGATAGTAACACACGGACTGCAGCCAAACAGTGAGCCCATTGATGGCATTCCCAAAACATTGAGATAATGCTTTTTTATAAATACAAAACTAACAAAATTTTACAGTATTTTAGTACAAAATTTTAGAGCCTTTTAAAAATAACTTGTAATTAATTTATAATTGAATTGTTTCATAAATTTAATGCTCTCTTTCTGGTCATTACTAGTTGTCATTTGCTATAGAAATTCAACCATTAATTAATGATTGCGTTAACTATTAGTATCGATACGAAACTTACTGTAAATTTTTCGCATCCAAAACGCGGTTTCCTTTGACTCGACGGCTAATCAGTGTATTATATTAGAGGGGAATAGCGAAACACACAAACTGTTAATTGTATTAAACGTTTTTATTAATTAGATAAACGAAACAAAGCAAACAAAAATGTTTGATTGCATTTAACACAACATTTAGCATTTGTAATTCTGTACATAAAATATTATTATTATTATTAATTATGAACTGTAAAATTAAGTTATCATATGTTTAAACTGTGATTCCGATGTAATGCTGTCACTGGGCGAGCACAGGGAGCCCGCGGCGCTGGTCGTCGCTGTGAACTGCGTGCTCTCGTATAGCTCACTGTTATTCCGCTGATACACGAACTCCGTGTCCACTGTCTTGAGCGACGAACACGACAACTGGTGCGTCAGCAGACTGTCGACGCCGCGGCCCCCGCTGTCGTCGGCACCGGCGGCCGCCGCCCCTCCGCACGACTCGTCCATATTGTCGTCCAATTGAGGCTTATATGAGAACATAATGACCGATGCGGTCGACGCGAAGAAGGGTCCCAAGAATGTCCAGTAGACGAGTGGCGTGAAGAGCGTGAAGTACAAGTAGGTGGTGACGTCCACTACGCACAGGCCCTCCACCCGGCCCCAGAAGAACAGCGCACTGCCCACCGCTTGGATCAGGTTCAGCACCGATAGCAGACACGCGTACACGTAAAACGACTGTTTGGCTATACATTCAAAATCGATTCAAACGAGAAAACACACAAATTACAAGCGATTAGTCATTTATTTTGTAACAAACAAAACAAGTAATCAACTCTTTTTTCACTCATTACTACAATCAGACGTATGGAGCGGCCGTTTTTGGCTACTGGTTCTCTCGGTGTCGCTCACACACCAACTGACCCTTCAATTGTGTACACTTTTTAAGATTAACACTACATATTTTTTAATTATTATAATACACCTGAAAACACATTTTATGCAAAACTAACTTTATATTTGTGAATCATTTCTACGCTTAATTTATGCATATTTTCTTGTTTTGGGGTTTTTATATATCAATGATAAGTGAAATTTTTTTAACAAATGGTTGAATATTTAAAACACTAATTGAAAGCAAGACTTGAAACAAAAGGGTTTTTTATATAACTGTGTGAACACAGCCCTCCGTATTGTCTGATTTAAAAGAAATCATTGAAAAATATTTTGTTTTTTGTAATAATTGTATGCAATATATAAATACGAAATGAGTTTACTATATATACACACAAATCAATTAATTTAATTAAATTGAAAAATAAAACTGAGATGAAAGACGTTTTAAGTAATAAACAAATAAAAAGTGTATTTCTTTACTTGGAAGTGGTATGCGTTGGCGACACGGCGTCCACGGCAGTAGGAATACCGTGGCGTAGATGATGGCGAACAGTAGACACGTGCAGAACCAGAAGATCATACCTCCGTGACTGAACAGATAGTAATCCCTATCCTTTATGTAGAAGGACTCGTCGGGCGCCACGATCTCCAGACAGCCCTGACATATGCTGTACGCCAGCGATATGAACGACGTGACCAGTAATACCCTACGGATGGACGTGTGAGAGTCCAGGTGCCCGAACGCCAGCCCGAACACCAGTACCGATGTCTCAGTGGATAATAGGAAGAACCTAACGATCACCCAAAACACCTAACCATCGGACATATAGACAGATATATTAGGATAGTGTATGGGTTACTGGTTGTGAGCGCGTGTTTATGGTGGACACGGACCTTATCGGTGATATCACCGGCAGGAGAGGTAACGTTGACTAACATGGAGATGACACATCTCAAGAGACTGGTGGTGACGTTGATGCAGACCAAGAGGTAAAATGTGGCGAATATGGGAGAAGTGGTCTGTCTTAGTCTCAGTTTGGTTGACCTCAGCCTCAGCAACAGGAACACCAGAAACGCCACATTTGGCACAAATATGATTGCGTCCCAAATCCTCAACCTATCCGTCAATACGGAGGCGACAAAAACAACACAAATATTACACAAAATAAATACAAAACATAATAATTATTATATAATTGTTTTTCTAATCAATAAAAATCGCATAAAAAATTGTGTTTATATTTAGTGTTATGTATATAACAGTGGAGTTCAGTCTTCAGGAGTTTGACATCAATTTGCACTGAATTTCATTGATTCAGATCTCAATTCATATCCTGTTTTCGCAACTAATCTATCGATAAATCAATGATTCATTCAATCCGTGAATACATTATATTCACCGCTAATTACTATTCAACTCATGTATTATAAAGCTATCAATTAGTTTGCCATCAAATGCAGACAAATGGCACACAATTGTGGCACACATTAAGACATATATTATCAACGAGTGGTGGACACGAACCTCGAGTGCGAGATCTCTTCGTAGAGAATCCATTGACAGAAATGAGTGGATGTGGTGTTTGTGATGTCTGTCGTGTTGGTCACGTTCACCAGTGGATCCATACTTTGATTATCACTATTAGCGGCCATTCATATAGCAATCAATACATCGGAAATGAGTACTAAATTACAAACGCTTTGGAAATGTCTGTCAAAAGGTTCACAATTTGTTCACTCAATTCATCGCTAAATAAAAACTTTTTGTTTTTTAAAAACTATAATAACAGCGAAACACGATTCACATGAAGTATATGTGTTATGATAAGTGTTATGATTAATACATTTGTTGCTTGTTT